GAAAATTATATTTTTGGACATGTAATTGTATGGAATTATCGGTAATAGAACTTGTATATAATAAATTTTATGTGAAAAACCTTATTAAGCATGTTTTGGATGGTATTGGAATAGATTGGAATGGATAGGAAATGAAAAGTAGGTGAAATAGGCAAAAGTGGACAAAGAGTACCAGTACAACAAGGTCCAGTGGGTTACCTGTATCGATACAGATTTTCCAGTGGGTTAATAGTACCGGTATAGCCTTGTCCAGAAGGCAGAGCGTACCGATATGCCTTACTGATACGGATTTTCCAGAAGGTTCATAGTACCGGTACGCTGTACCAATACTCTTTCCAAAATTTTGAAATTTTAAAATTACTTTGCCAAGCTTTTGGGCTATGGGTTCTTAGGTTCCAAGGATGTAATTGGACTATAATGGAGTATGAAATGTAATACATTGGACCATGGTTGGATCAAATGATAAAATGTATATGGGGTTTTACGTGTGGGTTATAATTCCGGTCAAGGGAATATTATTAACGTGTCGCCCAGTTGTGCGACAATCATGGGTATTTCCGCGGGTTGACGGATGGTCAATGGTTAATAAATGACCCTCGGTTTTAGGGGTGTCACAAGATATGCGAACTTGCAATATACAAATGCCTCGACAAATTATCATCCATATGCCAATTGAGACACCTCAACAACTAGAATGAGCATTGTATCATTTTTGAGTTGAGCACAATTGCATGGCAATCCGTTTAAATCGTTACAACCTCCATTGCATCGCACAAGATTGTGTTAAAGAACGGTTAATGGAAGAAGCACATAAAAGTTTCCTTTTAAGTGGAGATATTGGATATATTTTTGATGTCGAAATGTCTGACGAAGATATTGACTCATGAAACATGTTGTGTGGAGAAATGTTATGTTAGTTGATTTGTGCGTAAAGTTAACAATTTTTACTATACCTTTTTGGACTAATTGTACTTTGATGGAGTTTAAGTAATGACATTTTAGATCCTAAATAGAACAAAAGCTCAAGAACAACAAAAATCACACTTGAATGTAACACCAGCACAATAGGGAACAAAATTGCAGAAGGTTGGAACAAATCAAGAATGTTCGAACGTCAACCCACATTTGAATTTCCTCTGAAATCCTGCCAAGACCAGCTGCTGAGACAAGGCGTGTTACAATCAACAAAGGGAAAATGCTGAGATACTTGAGTACCACATTCAAATGCCAACTCACGTTCGAACAGCCTCTGGAATCTTGAGAAGACTACACCATTGGAACCTGGCATGTTGCTGATTCGTGCAAAAAATTAACAAATTTTACTTGAGTACAATGTTCGAACACCACTCCACGTTCAAACATTGTCCTGAGTGACTAAGGACCAAGTTGCTTAGTGTAAAGTCAAAATTTTTCAAGACGTATGGAAGTGACTATCACAGAAATCATAATCCACTTGAGTGGAAGGAATCAAACCCCATCTGACGTTCAAACGCCCTCAAAGCAAAGACACAGACAATGTTCGAATGGCATCTCACGTTCGAACGTCCTTAAAGAAAAGACAGACTTAACGTTCGAACACCAGATCACGTTCGAATGTCCTCTGCAGACTGCCTGCAGAGTAGTTGATTCCCATGGGCGAAAAACACTATTCACTCATCCTCTCTTATCTCCTACCCTCCCCTCCTTTCCTTGCCTATAAATACTCCCATGATGGGAGCTTAAAGGTCATTCTTCCTCTTGTAGAGAAAAGGGGGAACAATCCTTGTTCTTGTAAAGTAAGAGTGTTTTAGTAATCTAGTTCTTGAACATGTCATGTTTATGTTTTCATTTTGCATTTATATCAACCATGATGGAGGCTTAGACTCCCCTTGTAGTTGTACTTGCTTTTACTTACAAAGTATCAAGAGAGATAGTTCATCTTTTGGTTGTGGTGGAAGCCCTCCAAAAGTAACTACCTTTCTTTTTCTTTTATTGTTCATGTATTTCACTTCCATTGCTTGAGCATCCTTCTTTCTTAGAAGAGTGAAACTCTTCCACTTTTCTAGAGCTTTACCAAAGCAGTGAAGGGTGAAAAGTGATTCACTTATTCTTAACAGCACTTTAAGGAAAGAAAGCTACAATCTAATACATTCCTAGCTATCCTTAGCTCTTCCTTAGCTCTCCGCCTAGAAGCAAGATAGAATAAAGTCTTCTCTAGCCTAGCTGCCTATAAACATACAGGAGGAGCAAAGAGAAACTAACCCTCTCTCTAGATAGCATAGCACCATTATAAAGCTTGCAGGCAAGGAAAGGAAGTACCACTAGGGCTCCCCTCACCGCCTCACTTGAGCAAGGAATGACTGACTTAGGAGCTCACATGTGTTGTTTTCGGGTATTTGAGTCTTTTTTCTCTTTCTTTTTCATTCTTTTATGCCTTAAATAAAGCCTAATCTCGTAGCGTCCGGTAAGTGAAAGAAAGAAGGTGGATAGCTAGCCTTAGTCTTCCTGTTGCTAAGCACGAACGATTCGGTAGTTCTATTTAGAGGGAGTACATAATAGTTGTGGGAAACCCAAACAGTTGCTGGATATTAGTTCTAGTGGAATTATGCACTCCTGCAGTGAAGATCTGACTCTTTGCATGGTTTGCTGCTTTCATACGGCGAGAGTCATTGGTTCAAATCTAATAGTAGGTAAAACCGAAGCTATCTCCATCTGTCAAGGAGAAGGCATGGTACCTCGACCCAGCTGGGCAAGGGACTGCTATTGAAGAATAAGAACCCCCAGTCTTCGACTGATTGACCATACTTTCCTTCGACGCAGGAAGCATCGAATTGCATTAGTGGGATAGCTTACTTCAATACTCCCCCAAGCCAGGAAAGCTAGTGCTCGTGAATGCGCTCCTTACATGCATATTCTAGTACCACCGAGAAAAGAGTCCTTAGGCCCTCTTCCTTCGTTTTGTCCCATGCCTAACCAGACCCGTCTCTGACGTCTTTCTAAGAGAGGAGCTACGGACAAAAGTGGATAATCAGGCCATTTTCCTTTATCATTTGACAAGATCTTTCATCACCCCCTCTTATCATCATAATGACATGCCAAAAAACGTAGAAAAATGGGCTATCCAGCCGACGAGGTTTACCCCAGCTCTTGTGCTCTAGGGAATAATCGGAGAAGGTGTCTAAAAGAGGAAGCATAGGTTCTCCACTTCACGTGACATAGCTATGCTCAGGTTTCACCAACTTCGCGTCGGGTTCACTGAAGTGAAATCGAAGGGAATCGGGAAGTCTTGATATTCCTTCCACCATTATTTCCCGGTAATAGGGAGATCTGCGAGAACTCTTACCCATATCTTACCATTTTTTCGGAATTGTCCGCTCATAGCACGATTGAATTGTCCGATTATAGCCCGAGCGAACGTACTCCCCAGGCAGAGTGTTTCACGCGTTAGCTGGGCCCCTGATCCGCGTAGACCAAGGGCGAAAAATGTAATGCGAGACAGCAAATGAGACAACATCTGAGTCTCGCTTAGTCGTGAGCGCTCACCGGGCGGACCGAGTTGGTAAAGACACACAGGTTGAAGATAAGCTCTTGTTTAGTTTGCTTCATTTAGTAGCTCCTCTACTTAGAGGGATGAGTAACACTCACTTTTCTAGCTTTGCCAAGGCCATGAAAAGTGAGTAGTTCCTCATTCACTCTTTAGTAAGAGGTGATGAATATGTAAAAATTATCCGGAGTTTATGTTTGTGTAACTTCTTCATTGGATGATTGAATGTATCTAGCAAAGTTGAGGTACTTTGTATAACTAAGGGCTCCCTTTTTGATACGAATGACTCCTGCATAGAAAGACCCATTGGTTTAAGGAAAGTACCCTGGCTAGCTCTTTATGACAGCCTTTCAATCCCTACCATTATTGCGCTTTATTCAAAGAATGGATCATTAATGCCATGGTTGGATGTGTTATAGAAACACTTGCTTGCTTGTAGATGGGTTAAGTCTCGGCACAGACAATTCTTATAAACTTCTAGAAAGGCATCGGAATCATGTACTTAATTCTCAAAATCCATCTTTATCTTCCAATTAACTTACTGTTGACATCGGAGTTAATTGAGTTATAAAGTACAAACATAATAAAATGGATACTCTATTACATGTCTTGATCCTCGAGCTAAAGGGTGGCTGTTACATTTTGAGAATCTTATATTTTGTCTAGAAAACTCTTGAAAAGAATCTTCTATTCTATTCAAGAAAACCCCACCACTCCAAACTATCGAAATTTCCAGTTACTTGGTCTCTATTATTGCTTCCTTCAAAACAGCAATCATAGTTTCCTGTGGATTCGACTTTGGACTTAACTGGATTATTACTACAACTTGATTGCCTGCACTTGGGTGTACACATTTCGGATCAAGTCATTAGTGTTGTGTGGAGAAATGTTATGTTATTGTTATGTGGAGAAGTGTTATGTTAGTGTTGTGTGGACAAGTGTTATGTTAGTGATTGTGTCGAGAAGTGTTATGTTAGCGTTGTGTTGAGAAGTGTTATGTTAGTTTTGTTGTCTCCAGATCCTATGTTAGTGTTGTGTCAAGATTTAAATGTGAAGTGTTATGTTGAAGTTAAGTTAAATATGTTGTGTACAATATTGATTGTATGTGTGACAACTTGATTAAAGATTGCAATTGAAAATACTAAAAAATACATCAAAATCATGTGCCATATGGAGCTGGTCATGTACGTCACTTTGACTGTATAAAAAGCTCATGCTCAGTATCCCGTGGTGCAGACTGTGCCACTTGTGAGACACCCACATCATCTTCATGATGTGCATGACCTCGCCCCTAAGCCCATCCCTGACCTTGTCGTCTGCCTCAAACCCGTGGTTTGACTTTCGCATGACCTATATCTGCAAGTGTATCATCCTATGTCAACCCCTCCTTAGGTAACATAGGATCTGGTAAAGGATGCTCAACAAAAGGGGTAGGGTAGATTGTGTGCGATGACCCCATTGCTGCATGACACGACAGGGGTGTCAATGTAACTAATGTGGTACCACTTATTGACATTGCTGGTGGAGTGCAAACGAGAACATCTAAAGGTGTACAAGAAGGTGTCATTGCAATTGCAGGGGTGATTACTCCTAAGATGATTAGTGATGGTGTCAATATCGGTGTTGAGGTTGGTAATGGTGTCGGTCTCGGTCTTGGTGTTAGTGTAGGTGTCAGTGTTAGTGCTTGTGCTAGTGACGAAGGTGGTGGTCGTACAAGTGATAGAAGTACAAATGTGGTGAAGAAATAGGAGTAGTTCAAATACCAAAAAGCGGTGGCTCCGTAGATGTACACGCAACTTCAGCTGCCATGATTGGAGCGTAGACAAGTCATCACTGCTCACATATGGCTGCCAAACATGAGGAGTTCAGATTTGTGATACACCCAAGAGTCTCCATGCAAAATGTCAAATCTAGGAAACCCTCATATATAGAATGTGAAGTGTGATATATCCGTGTAAGAGTCACTTCCTACAAAAAAGTTACATGAAATACTAATTTTAGTAAACAATTCCACATTTTTTTATCCTACCAATATAATAGTAAATCATTTAAAAACATCTTACCAATAGCTCTATGATGCTCCCAATTGGTTGAAAACTAACAGTAGGCCTAGCAATGGGTGAACCGACAAGCTGATGAGTAATGTGACGATACCATGACATGTATGGGTCAGTAGGATCCATCAGTGCAGTAACCAAGTCTCTTGTAACAATGGTATCTCGACAACGGGCCCGCATGTCTATGTACACATGATGAACATCAGTCCAATCCCGATCTGATCTCCCATTACAGCTAACAAAATACAGGGCTATATTAGTATCACATGCCTGTGGTATGCACTGCACAAGACCAAACTATCGAGTAACACGATCTAGAAAATGCAACTGGACGACATCAAAAAAAATCAATGGGGAACGTGTGTGCCAAATATATTGCTTAATAAGGTAATAATCTGGCAACCAACTTATGACCTCAGTAGTATACGACTCCTATATCATTTGTAAAACAAATTGTGGGCACACATTAATAAATGTAGAAGTATTTTTAAAAAAATTGGGCAGAGTTTCCCCTATAAATTGGAATTTTCCAAAATTTTTAACCTGTACAAAACACACCCAGACATAAAAAAATATACAAAAACATTCCAACATCTCAACATCCACTAATCCACCACAATTCAACAACTTCCCAACATACAATCCAATCATCCCAAATAGACATTAACAAACTTTAAAACCTAATATCCGGGTAAGTAATTAAGATATTGTGCCCAAGTCGACTCAAGTGCCTAGATGCTGAATATTGAATCGATTAAATGTCAGGAACTAACATGGAATTGCAATAAGTGGCCATGATATGAGAGACATTTTATAAATTATAAATTTTTCATAAGTGCATGTATGGTCATTAATACACACAACATGTGTATTACCATTCATAGTAACCACCTTCGCAACTTCCCGTTGCATGTGAAATGGTGTCACATTATGCATTCCTAATTTGATTTGGTTGGGTCGCATAAATTCGATTTCATCAGGGGAGTACTGTGATTCACACTTTTTAGTGATCTGAATTATATTATATTATACACCCAAGTATAAGTGGTCAAATTATAATTTTCTCGATTGTTAGTCCAAGTATCGATCCCACAAAGAGTTTAGTAATTCTTGTTGAAAATAAAAATAAGAAGTTAAAACAGTAAAATAGTTGTTTGAAGTAGTGTGATGTTTGATAGTTTGTGATGTGAGCTTAGATTGATAAGTAATTTATTTAAATAAAAGCAATGCGAAAATAAAGTGCAAAGATAATAAAGTGTGTAAATAAAACAGATTAATGACAGAAATATGAAAGATACCCTTCAACTTAAGGATACCATATGCTTTATATTGGTTAAATTCTGGAAATGCTACCTCACAACAATTAACTCCCATGTTACTGGAAAGTCAACCGACAGGTCTGATGTATATAAACCATAACACAGCTGCTTCTTAGGCTACATTGGTGGTAATATATTATAACACAACTGCTTCTTAGGCTACACCGGTTATATCTATGTCAACTGATTAACCTAAGCAAACCAAAAGGATAAGTCATTCATGAGGAATACTTGAGTTATTCATTTGATCTCATGATTGCAAGTGCATATATATAAACCATAACACAACTGCTTCTTAGGCTACACTGGTGGTAATATATTATAACACAGCTGCTTCTTAGGCTACACTGGGTATAGTTGTGCCAGTTAAACATCCTCAACATTCCGGTGGAAGCAAAGCCATACCGATAGGAACATCGTGGTTGTTAGACTGTCATAATAGTTATATATAATAATAATCAACCCTAATAACCCAGAAGGACAAGCCATTCACGAGGATAATTTAAGTTTGTACCACACATAAGTCAACTTTCTCAGCATTTCGGTGGAGGACAAGCCATACCGATAGAAACGCCGTGGTTGTTTAACCGGCGGGTCTTATGATATACTGATGGTATAATCCAAGGCACAGCACCAGAATTATACACATCTCTATATCACGCATTACACATATAATACATATATAAATAAACGTATAAATAAAACATCTGCATTTCCATAATCTAGCCAATATGATACATATGTTCTCCTCACACTGGAGGGTGTAAACGACTACTCACGCTCCATTGCTACAGACAAGCAAGGAGTGCGGGCAGTTGTCATTACAACAAAAATTAAAGTAAAAACTTCTTTCACAAGGAACAACTGAAACACAACCACCTTTTATTATCACTTAATACAAAAAAAAGTGGCAGCAGTTCAATTATCCAAATAGAAAGTTACAAAAAATAAAATACAGAGTTTGGACTGAAATATAACACGGACTGGATCATGTTGCTGATTCTCTTTCTCTTTTTCTCTTTTCTTTATTTCTTTTTCTCTCAGGAGCTCTTAGTTGTCCGACCTTGTTTTGAAGTGAAGAAGGTGCCTATTTATACTCATTTAGGAAGCATGAGGTGGAAGAAGTCAGGATAATCATCAAAGGGTGACCGTCCGGATGCCATCACCACCGTCCGGACGGTGGTGCTTTGCTGGAATTTGCAACTTGCATGCATGCTGACTCTTCATTTGATTTCAATTACACTTTAGCCTTTGTATTTTCAAGCTTCCCTACTTGGCACCTTGTATTCTGTAGTAATTCTGCATTAAACCTGCACTTTTGGATATAAACTGTTAAAAATACTAATTACCGTACAAACCCTAATTCATACTGATTACTGATTTTCTGTTGTTTTATTTTATTAGTTTGATATATTTAACTATTCTAATTTACATACTAACTAGGGTTAATCACACCCCCCAACTTAAACTTTACTAGTCCCTAGTAAACATAGATTACTTTACAAAATAAAACATAAATAGAAGTTATATCATTTTCGTAAATTTTTTCACTATTGCATTTAGCATATACAATAAGCCGTTAAAACCCTAGGTAATTCTTAGTGGACGAGTTGTGTCTCGTGAAGATTTTCAGTGAAACTACCTGTAAACTTCAGTAATTAGGAGTTCATAATTCATATTTTTCACGAATATAATTAAATAAGTATTCCTTCTGTCTTGCCAGAGTACTTCCTTTTCTGATCACTATATAAGAGTAACATATGTTAGTTGTAATATGATCTATATATTTTTATAAAAACTTGTGTGTAATAATTTCTTTATTTAAAAAAAAATCACTTGAGAAATATTATCCTCTTTCGTAGTAGTTTTGATGTCAATCCTTCCCTGAAATACACTCAGTAAGAAGAATACACATGTTATAGTGGCTATTCTCAGTAAATTACATGTGATTGGAATATTGTCAATAAAGCAAATAATATCACATGTAGTATTTGAAAGATCGGTTAATTTGAATAAAGTGGAATTTTGACATAATCTTATGAAAGAATATTAACATTTTAAAATATATTATTAACATTTTCCTTTTTAGATTAATAGAAATAATATCAATGCATGATTTCTAGAATCAAAAAGGAATTTTTTAGGGTTGTAATGTGGCCATGGGGTTGAGATTTATCAAACGACGTCTATAGAATTCAAAAGTTACCCTTTATATTGTGGCACATCTCTTTCTTATTTTTATTTTTCACTTTCTTGGTGAGTGCATTTTATGCTCCATCTCACTTTTTATTGAATGAATGCGTTTTACGCTCCATCTCATCCTTAACATGTGTTTATGAGTGAGTGCGTTTTATGCTCCATCTCTACTCACCACATGTTTTTTTTTATAAAACATCATTTTGATTTAAAAGAGGGTGCCAGAAAATTATGTAGCTAAGGTAGGTTTGATATATTTTCTTATGGCACGGATATTTTTTGGGGTTTTATTGAAAAGAATATATCTTTCAACCTCAACCATGGTTGACTAAGGATATAATTTTGTAAAAGAAAAGGTCAAGGCTCAAAGATAATGAAAAAGGGCCTAAGATCATTTTCTAGAAATTATCCATATGTATCATTTCTATCTAAAAGAGTTTCAAGTACAATGCTAATAATATAATTTAACAAATGCTAATCAAGACAAAAATAATGAGATTATTCAAAGAAAGGTTACCGCTGAATCGAATATTTGAGTAGATGTAGAATACATCTCCAAGATAGATTGGCTCAAAATCTGCATTAGGTTTCTCATCTCCACTATATATGTAAAGAGTGTAATATTTCATAAGGATTTTATCAACAAAGAAATCTATGTGTGCTTCTAAAGATAAGTTTGAACAAAAATATTTAGATACTATACAACTACAATATGAAGATCTTAGTGATCAAATTAAGACTATTCCTGCAAGGTCTCAGAATACTAACTTAATTTGACTGTAAATTATATGAACTAGTCTTCCTAATTTTAATATGATAAGTTCTAATTTTAATAAAAGTAAACTTAAACATACCTAAGTTCAAAACTTAACCAGTTTAAAACATATATAGGTTTAAGTAACTAAACAAATAAGTGCAAAAGATAATTTAAAGTTCAATTGCATATGTAAAAGTGCATAATTTAAAAGAGTTGAGTGAAAGATGGCAAAATTTTTATGTAGAATCTTCAGTCTTTATGAAATGGATGGTCCTCCTCCAAAGTCCTGTTTCAGTAGCTTCAACATTTCTGCTTGGTTTTTTTCATAGTCCTCCATTCGTTGGTTCATTTGATTGATGCTGGTACCAAGCTGGGTGATAGTGTTTTTCAATCCTAGCAGAATTTGTCTGTCTATCTTA